GGGGAAAGCTGGAGTTATTTATTTATTTGATTTTGTGAATCGGAGTTGTAAAAGCCATCTGAAATATTCATGCCGAATTGTCTGAGAAGACCGTTTCTGTTTTATTTACTGCACAGTAGAACAGCCACAGCGGATTAGTTCTACAATACCCGTAACAAAAACCCAACAGCTGACTCATGTGATGTCGGGAGGTGACAAAACAGTTAAAGTATGCTCCTGGCTGCAGGCAGCAGTCAGCAGATGCATACAAAGAGTTTGTGACAAGAATAACTCTCTCTCCAAGGCGAGGGGTGAAGAGTATCCAAAATACCAGTATCCTTTTCTCCTTGACATTGTCTTCTTACCGTCAGCATTTTATTGCCCTTTTATAGTATTTTTAAAAAAAGAGAGAGAGAAAGAAAGAAAAAGAGGAGAAAGGAGAAAGCAAACCCGCTCAGTCAGTCACGCACACAACACCAGCCAGGATTTCACTTTCCTCCGTCCGGAGCGTCCCGACCGATCCTGTCCCGCTTCCCCGTTGATGGAAGCGTCAGAAATAAAATAGTTTAAAAGACCCGGCTGAAAGGATGCTCTGTCCCTGGCGGGGCAGGGCCGTGGGACGCTGAGCTTGCTAAGCAGGGCAGGGGGCAGGAGGCGGGGTGCGGGGGGTGGGGTGTGGGGGGGGGCCGTGCCCCTGTGTCTCTACCCATTCCAGCAAAGCTCATTTCCCAGGCTAATTAGGCCCCGTTGGAAAGGGGATCTGGGCTCGCACCAGGGCCAGGGCGCGGTTCGGGTTCGCCCCCCCTCACCCCCTTCCAGAGGCAGATGGATGAGCTGGGGATGCTTCAGAGGTGTGAAAAATCAGCCTCGCTGTCTCCGGAAAATAGCAGAGGCTGTCTTCTTTGTAACCTTTGTCATTCCCCTTCTATTCTCTGACATTGTTTTGCTGCCAAGAGCATTGGCAAGGCCTGGGCCAGCGAGTGCACTTGCAGTGACCGCTAACCTTGGTATGTCCTGACACTTATGATGAGTGTCTGCAGGATACGTAAGGCAGCAGCCTGCGCTGTCAGGCTTTTATTATGGACTGCAGAGGCTGGGGACAGTCGGTTTAATAAAACAAATCATCCTTGAAGGTAAGGCGGGGCGGTGTGTGTGTGGGGTACTGTGTCTTTGCCACTGCATCGATAGATGCATAGATACGTGTTCCAAAAGAAGCCCCAGCACACCCCCGGGCGTGGACAGAGCAAACTTGGAAACTTCTTGCCAGGGCGTGGAAACTCAGCTTCCAAGGTTGACGTGAAATCGGTCCAGCTGATTGGTAGCCCCGCCCAGATTGAAGGCACCTCCCTGCGTCCACCTCTCCTAATGCCCAGGCGACAGGGGCCAGCCCGCGTTCCTATACTGGGTCGCCTTTTTATCAAAGCTTAGTTCCCTCTCCTAACTAACCCAGCGGCCCCTCAGCAGCCACTCTGTTGCAGCCAGAGCCTCTGAAAGCTTTCTGTTGTGTTGGGGCCTGCCCTCCCCCCACCCCGCAGCCTGCATTGTCTTGCATTCCAGGGATTTGATTGACTGTGACCACCTGATGCTGACAAGATTCTCCAGGGTTCATTCTGCAGATTGTTGGGTTCTATTAAAAGCAACCCAGATAAGGGATTACTTGTCACTAAGGGCTTTTCTGCAGATGTTTATTAGTGATTGGAAATCCATGGATAACCTCATTCTCTTAAGGCTGAGTTCTAAAACACCCCCCACCCGGCCCCCAAACCTCACAACAGCCTTGTCTTACCCTCATCGGGGTGCTGGTGGGGGAGGGAAGGGGGTGCTGCCTCACACAGACTTGAGAGACTTGAGAGACTTTGCTTTGCCCATAGGTGGTATTTCTGCCTGTGAATACAAGTCCTTGTCTCTCTCTTAGAAGATAGATCCCTGGTTGACCAATCCGTTCCCTCCAGAAACCGTCAAAACAGAGTCACTGTTTTAGTATTAAAGCATCTCATTCTGACTTTCTCTTCTGCAGCCCACACCCACGCAGAAGCATCGCCTTGACATCAGCACTAAATTAGCAGACCATTCCATTTGCTCATCAAGAATTCATCCCTTCCCAAACATAACCCAACCATCAAAGATCCCCCCCCCCCCCGGAATCTTTTGCACCAGTTCTATTTATTTTAAAGTTACTAGCTCTTCTATGGTTTTGCTCACTCACAGAGCTACAACTTATCAAAGTTTGGATGCTCCAGAGAAGTAGAAATTACTGAAAAGGCGGGTTAATGGACAAAGACCCAGACACGTTCTTCCTCGTGAATCTCTTCGTTTTACAGAATTTCATGGTGTCTTCATCCATAAAATGAGCTCAGAGACATATCCCAGCTCTTTAAATGATAAAAACGTTGTCACTATTCTAATACTGCTTTTTTGTGTGTGTGGTATTACGAGGGAAGGCAAGTGTAACTTCAGATTAATGTGTTGAGCAGGGCAGAAGCAAGATCTCGTTGTGAACTATTTATCGGAGACTGTGCCAGGGAACTAACTGCAGGGTGCATGTTGGTGCCATCAAACAGATATCCTAAGAAGAGGAGTCAGCATAGAAGCCATCAAGAGGTCTAAAGATAGACATCTTGTGGTAAATTCTTTGCAACTGGAGATAAGTAGGTGAAAACTTAAGTGATTACAAAAGACCAAGGCAAGATTACCACTGAGCACTCTGAATTTTACAAGCAGGATGAAGCCATTAAGAAGCATGGAAATGCACAGATAATAGCTTGGGGCTCCACAGAAGTTACTTTGATTTGTTCTGTTCTGTTCTACAAACCTCTCCCTCCTCTGACGATCTGAACAGAGCCCCTTCTCCTGTGGGTGGGTCCTTGGAGTCAGAGGGGGCCGTCTCATGCCTCTGCTCACCATGCAGCATGAGGAGCAGAGATCTTGGGCTGTGATTGTTCTTGCACCATTGTGATTGTTCTTTGCTCCCGAAGGGAGTAGTTAGAGTGGACACTGGCGGGCTCACCTCTTCCCCAGCCAGGTTCCCGCTAGAAGAAGCCCACTGCATAAGCTCGGGAGGATGCCCTTTGGGGGAAGTGGACAGAGAGGCAAAAGGCTGTTTAATGGGGCTGGGCGGACTGGTCTGCAGCCTCCTCCCGTCCCAGCCACCTCCTGTGGCACTGTGCTCATGCACAGAGAGCGGATTTGAGGGAATCACCCAGTCCTCTGGAGAGTTCTCAGTCAAGACCGGCCCTTGGGTCCTACATGTTTACAAATCCCCAGGGGCAAGGGAAGGTGGTGTTTGGAAGCTTTCCCTGCCAGTAATGGGAACTGTATCCAAGCTAATTGGCCAGAGCACGTGTCTGTGGGTGAGGAAGTGGCCCAGATTCTCACTTCTTCCAGATATTGGCCCCAGCTGGGAGCCCTCACGCCCTTTTCCCCATGTGGAGTTACTAAGTTTCTTTTCTTTTTTTTTTTTTTAAAAGATTTATTTATTGATGCATACAGAACTGGGGTACAGGCCAGAGATGCAGGGGTCGTAAGAGGTGTCACCAGAGACAGAGGGGACGAGCAGAACAGGCAGATGGATGAAGCCCACTGCTGAGGGGAGCAGCGGGCGGGTCAGGAGAGGTCTGCCACACCGGGTGTGTCACCCCCGGGGCGGGGGATCGAACTCATGCTGAGGTGGCTTTAGCTTCTCAGTGCTGTGCTTTAACCCGCTGCGCCCCCAGGGAGGGCCCTAGGTTTCTTTCTTAAAGGATGGGTGACTTGCAACCCGAAGCAATGGATGTCTCTATCCAGGGATGTTAAACAAGGCTGTGGTCATTTGCTTTAAAGATGTACTAATACAAAAATGATCCATGGCACAAACTGAGAAAGACAGGGAGAAAGGAATCAAACAGTGGACATGACAATACCTCCTTTGTGCTTTGGCCAGTGACCTCTTGGAACAGAGATGAAAATCTTCCACCTCTGGGCATGTACTTTCTCCCATGTCTACACTCGCTGTAGAATAACATTAGTGGTCAGAAGTAGCCGCTGAAAGAAGCCCGCTGAGCGGCAGCTGCAAAGACGAGCTGTGCATCTGAGGTCTCGCTGTGTGGAGAGACATTTGTCCCAGGAGTGACCCACCAAGAAAACGAAATAAGCACATCAATAGCTACTCCCTTCCTCAAGACGTCAGATTAATAAATAACTAGGAACACACTAACTACACCCACAATACACATGTCTGTTCATTGCCATAGGAGAAGGGAGTTAACCATGGGGATTTTCAAAGAATACCTGAAGGATATTTATCTTGAGATCGCTGTTTATAGATATTTATTCTGAACACTTCTGCTCTGCCCTGGTCTCTGTTTTCTCCCTGTAAGATGGAGATCAGAGCATGTGGGGTTCTGGGACCTTCAGTCCCTAACAAAGCCCGTGACACAGGGACATTCCACAGATGTCAGCTATAAATAGCCTGTTTTCTTCACCTTGTACAAATCTCTTGCCTTTTACCCAAAATGTTAGCATTTGCGAGTATCATCAGGCCCCTTCGGAGCCTGAGACGTCCTACGGTTTCCTGCATTTAAAGTGTGGCTTTCGTTTATATCCAAGTCCTGCTAGTTATCACTCTACCTTTGACAGCTATTTTGTTCATAATGGAAATCTTTTTTTTTTTTTAATTGAGGCAATGTCCAAAGCTTGGTGTGTGCCCGTTTCTGCTATGCACCCGCTTAACGAGGCAAGGAGGCCCTGCAGGGCGCCCCCTTTCCTCCCTGCTGTTCTGAGGCAGCCGGGTCTTTCGGTGGGTCTGCCTGGATCCCTTGCAAGCGTCTCTCTTTCTAAAAACCCGACAAAGCTGTCAAGCCCGCATTACAAAGCTACTATATATAACGACTTTACCTAAGAGAAGCGAGTCTGGCCATTTTTGGAAAATGCAGGTGCTACATAAGCCCCAGTCTGAAAGAAAGAACTTAGCTCAGTTTCCTTTGAAGAACTGGAGACTTGAAATTGAAGACTTTATTAATGCCATTGTCTCTTTGTATCAGCAGGTTCCAGAGAGATTCCTGGAAGTCGCGCAGATCACATTACGAGAGTTTTTCAATGCCATCATCGCAGGCAAAGATGTTGATCCTTCTTGGAAGAAGGCCATCTACAAGGTCATCTGCAAGTTGGATAGTGAAGTCCCTGAGATTTTCAAATCCCCGAACTGCCTACAAGAGCTGCTTCACGAGTAGAAATTTCAACAACTCTTTTTGAATGTATGAGTCATCGTAATCTGTTTGGATGTCCAAGTTGTATGTTCTAGATTTTGATTTCACACGTGTTTACGGGAGGCATGGATATGTTATGAAATCAGCTGGTAATTCCTCCTCATTGTCTTTCTCTCATTTTCTTTCTTTTTCCATTGCAAGGGGGTGTTTATTTTCCTTCAGCCTTTAGTTTACCTTTGCCCAAAGCCCTTAACATTGGAAGAATTAAAATAGAGTTAATTTTCAGGGAAAAGGGATGTTGGCATGCGTGAAGCCTGGTGTAGCAAGGAGGGGCATTTACTGGGCATACTCCTGCTTGGCTGGTGGTAGATTGTCAATGTGGTCGGCGAGAGGGCACCGTACCCCATGTGTGAGGTGGTGTTGACTGCTAAGAAGGTCGGAAAATTCAGTGCAAACACTTCTTAAACTTAGAACACTTTGCTTGTTTTGAACTCAGTCGGTAGCTCCTGAAGACATGTGGATGGTGGCATTATAAATAATGCCAGTGGTAGGTGAACAGCTCACTTTTCAAAAGTGTCCCCCAAAACCAAATTCAAAAGAGGAAAAAAAAGGTCACGATCTGTCCAACCTTTCTTCAGGGAATTGGCTAGCCCTCCAAATTGATCACAGCCAGTTTCTTCCAGTGGAAAATCATTTTTTGCACAACACGAACGTTCCAGATGAGACTTGACGTTCGCCCCCATCTTCAAGTCCATGGTCAGAATTTACAGTGGAACCTCTTACCTGGCTAGTGAGTAGGTCTCATTCTCACAGAGGGAGGCCTCTGGGGTGTATCAGCCTTTTCGATTTTGCTCGCTTCGATATTAAGAGGCACACAAGTTTCACATTTCCTCTTTTGATCTACTTTGTTTCTCTTCTAACGGGAGACATTAGTTCTGTTGACTATTTAGCATATTTTTGGGAAAAAACACTATTTTCTAAGCACCTTTCTATAGTAAGGAATAAAAGACATCTCAGCTGGACCACAAGATTCCTGTTGACACTAGGAGTTTATGATGGCTGTATCTGTCTTGGTTTTTTACCAGGGAGCACGCTTCTCAGTTCCACCTATTCTAGCTACCATTCCACACTCCACTCCACCAGGGAGGCGACACATTAAGTAAGTGTGTCTTCACTGTAAGGATAGCATTGCAAAGCTATTGACAAAGTCTCTTCTGATTCAGAAGCTAGTATTGACCAAAACCTGAGAAGAGTATATAGCATGGAAATGTGGATGGAGGCTTACCCAAAAGACACAATTTCAGCTCACCTAAGAAAGCTAGCTGCTATTTTATGCTTTCTTCAATGGTTCTCCCCTTTTTAAAATTCTTTTTCTTGCTTTCCGGGTTTTCAAAGGTGTACAATGTCCTGTGCTTGCTTTGAAAAAGTTGTGTGGCATTCACCCTAGTGTTTTTTCAGTGCTGTACAGATGCAGTAAGAATTCCTTGTTCGTTCTAACAGCGTTCTCCGCCCGCCCCCCCCCTTTCTTCCTTATAGGGAATTTGATCTACATTTTCTAAAATGACACAGTATTTCGAATCCTGGTCTATAGCATGTAAATACCATTTCCCCTTGATTTTTATAAGAATCCCACTCTGCCTCTGGAAAATATTCATGCTGACCCATGTGACCGAATAGCTGACCCAATCACCGTGATTTAACAGCATTTAGAAATTCTGCTGATCGACAAGAATGTATGAAAGTAATTATTGTCAGCACAAAGCCTTAAAACCTGCTGACTTTAAATTAAACAGCACAGCCCTACAGTGGCCTGCATTCTCTAGGAGATGAACTGGCTCTTGCGGTGTGGACAGAGTGCAGCTTCGGCTGGAACACCACCGGCTTCGCGCCTCACCCGGTAGCAAACGCACCGTGAGGCTGATTCCCTCCTCCACGGTGCACCAGAACCATCAGGCTCAATTGGTTCTTGTTCCAGCTTGCTTAGAGCGGTGGTGGTGGTGGAAAAACAAAATCTCTCTTCAGCTAATCATTGCACTGGGGTAAAATGCAGTCCCCCCCCCCAAACCACCCCCCATTCAGTGAATGCCATCCCTGGCCCACAACCCACACTGGGTCTCTGCTGTTCCCCAGGCTAATCCCATCTGCAAGGGGTGAAGTATCCCAGTCTCCCCTCTGGAGACAGTCACTAGGGTCTTCTTGATCCGGGGCGAATTCAGTGTCGATTCCAGACTGGCTTGGATTTCATCTGATGTTATTGGATTTTTATTTCCCCCTACTTTTCTCATTCAAATGGACAAATTAAGTAAAAGTGTATGATCCCAAGCAAATGTTGATGCCCTTCTCTATGATAATATCCTCTCTGTGTTCACTGAGGCATAGAAATTATTTCAGACCAGCATCGGGAGGATCAGGCTTTTGCATCGGGAGGATCAGGCCAAACTCACCTCTAGAGCCTGATGGCTTTTGGGGGTCTGGCTTTGATGGCTTTTTTGCCTCGTGCCTCCCAGCACATTGGAAAATGGCAAAAGCCTGTGCTTAAAATTCCTATTTGACAGGTTTTTTTTTTTTCATAAAAGTAATCACCAGCTTTCCAACCTTTGCGGAACTCTCACCAAATCAAAAGTGGCAGCTTGGGAAAACGTTCACTTTCTCTGGTGGGCGGGTGAAGGGTGACGGAGAGTTGACCTAGGAATCAAAAGTCTCAAGTCCATGTTGATACCGCATGACTGCGGATTTTCTGCTAACCCTAAATTACTTTTGCACATACACGTCAGGCTATCTAGTCTGTGCCTAGACCGAAAATGCACCAGCGGAGGGATTTTTTTAAATCCTTCAAAATACCAATTTTTCCCACAAGTACAATCGTTTTTGTGCCTTCTGTGGCTCAAATTCTTCGTTTTGATTTTTATTTCCAATTATGACCGTTGCAATAAACACTGGATTTTTTTTTTCTGGCTGTTTGACATAATGTTGATAGCTATGCATATTTTGTGTCTTTTTAAAACAAAGCGGGAGAATACGTTTTTGAAGAAGAGAATTTTTAGAACAGTTTGATACCGCAAATTATTTTTTTCCTCAATTGTTTAAGCAGCATTCGAGTTTTGAAAATTCTTGTAGAAGCCAATTTTTTGTAGATTTGTGGTGCAACTCTTGTGTTTTCTTAGCCTAATGAAAACTAGTATAGAAGCAATATTTCAAACCATGCGTTGAATATGTGCAGCTGTGCACAGGTCACAGCCACACTTATACAACCATGTCAAAATAAGCATATATATATACGTGTGAAGTGGAAAGCTTACCTTTTCCTATCTAGAGTTAAGGACCTATTTTAGACATTTGTTATGTTTTGTGAGAAGAATGTTCTATTTGCAACAACAAAACATTTAATTCTTACTGTATCTCTGGCTGTTTAATGAGAATGTTTCACATGCAATGGTAAGACAACGTGCAAGATGGTAGAATGTAGTAATTATTTAAGGAAATGCTCACCCACACATTCCTAAAGTTTGCTTTGTGCCTCTGAGTATTATTTAATTAAAGTGTTTTCGTTTGCAGAATCTTTGTTGCTGTGTGAGGGATGTGGGTGATTATCATTTTTAAAAATGTTGAAAAGGACAAAAAAAAAGCAAAACAAAAACACTAAAGCAAGAGGGGAACTTTTATAAAGCAATGTAAATATTTCATCTCATGGCTGTGGTGACATCAGACATGAGAGCTGAATAAATAACTACATTCTCACATCTGTTGAATTTATGAGGACAGTACAGTGACTGTGTAGATGGCTGAAAACATCCAGGAGAATCCTGCTCTCTGCTTCGCAAAGATAACAGTGTCTTTCAGCAGATGGCAACAGCAAGGCGAATGTAGTTTCTGTAAATTTATGAAATTTCTTTTCTGTGTACATGACGACCGTTAGTACGGAACCTCCCCCCCGCCTCCCCTGACACACACACACACACACACACACACACACACACATACGGTTAACGGCAAATCCTGAACCTCAAGAGTTGGGGGCTTTGCAAATCAGATGTGCCTCATCAGCCATCCTAAATTCATCATCCAAAAAAGTGGTTGTCAGCTGACCTCTCCCCCAAAGCAGCAGTACCCATGTAAACACAGAACAAAATCTCCTTGCCTGTGTGTATAATAGAATCCTCGTGGGTGTGACTAGTACAAATGTTTCCTCTGGTCCAAACTTTTGTGTTTGCAACATTGTTTTCCAAAAGCTCCCCTTTAAAGAACATAACTGTTTATGTGAGTAAGTGGTTACTCTATTGCACTTGAACTTTAGGGTGGAGGAAATGTGTTTATTTTGTGTAGCTCTGTTGGTATAGACCAGCTCTAAAACTTCAGCGAAAACGCTCATGTTCCGAGCTGGGATCAAAACTGGATCTTCTTCTCATGATCCTTCTAAGGATAGAGCCGAATCTGGAGGCGCCCAGATGTGGGTGCCCATTCACCGAGTCCTCTGTTGACGCTGACACCCTCTAAATGCACAACCAGAAACAGAACAGGCAAGACTGGCCCTCTGGGGTGAAAATATTTTCACTGTGTATTTTTCAAAAATTCGATTCCTCGAAAAGATTGGATGTGACCACTTCAGAGGATCAGAAAGGCAGATAGCTTTGGGGTTAGTCTCAGCGTTACCTGGAAGAATCAAAGGTCTCGGCTTCCCCCAAACACTGTCCATTTCTCATATGTATATAGTATAAACCGTGACAAAACACTGCCTTTATATTATTTAGCAATATGTTGTAAATAGCATTATTAAGCTCTTTTTTTTGTAAGAAAGACCCTTTGATTTGAATATAGTACAATAATTGAACCGATATCGTCGATTTTTGATTTTTTTTTTTTTAGCTAGAGGCAATTTCAATTGTGGATTTCTGTTGTTGTCTATTGTTCTGAAGACTTTGCATAATTTATTGGTTTAATTTATCCTAATTTATTTGATGAAGGTGTACAATTTTGTATTACCAAGGATGTACTGTAATATGAATTGAGATGATAAAAACAATGAGACTCCCTGTCCATATTAAAAAGAAAAATAAAAAAAAGGTGCAGTAGACAATTGATTTGAAAGTCAAAGTAAAAAAAAAAGAATTAGTTTGGCAGCTACTAA